CCTGCTGCAAGTTCATAGGACAAAACACATATAACCTTTGTCTTTTACTTTTTTTTTCCTGCCCTTTTCAGTTGGCAGCATCTCTAATAAGACTTTCAGTACCAAAAAACTGCAATTTTATTTTTGTGGCTATGAGTTAAGGTAAAATACAGTAAGGAGGAGAAGAGTACAATATAAGGGGCAGAACAAAGGGAGAGGGAAAAACATTGTTGGAAATCCGAACAAATTTCAGATGGCATGAGCAGCTCTTGTATGTGCTTCTGACCTACAGCATACTCTTTGTAATTGTTTATGTTTCAGCAATAAGTATGCAGAAAACAGAGTAATTTTCCCAAAAATGCTCTCACAAAAGCAATGGAACAATTGCTGCATCTCCCTCTCTTCATCTTGGAATGAATACACAAAATTGCAACAATTATTTTCAAATAACATAGTTCAAGAACACAATAATGAACTAACTGTACACCAATGCACTGGTTTTGGCTGGGATAGATTGTGTTTTCTTCATAGTTGCTGGTACGGGGCTATGTTTTGAATTTGTGATGAAAAAAATGTTTATAACATGAGGATGTTTTAGTTACTGCTGAAGAGTGCTAGCACAGCGTTAAGGTGTTTTCTGCTTCTCAGCCCACTCCACCAGCGAGGAGGCTGCAGGTGCACAAGAAGCTGGGACAGGACACAGTCGGGACAGCTCATGCTGAACATAAGAAGTTTGTTTTCACTTGCTAGGTCCTATATAGCTTATCCCCTCTTTTCATTTTTCAGTCTGCTGGAGAATGTTGAAAGCTGATTCTTCCCTCAAATTGGTCTAGAAGTCAAACCTCAATCAAATATTAGCTTTTCAACTCCGAATTACCATACTTATTCTGATTCTTAGCCTGTGCAAAAGAGCATCCCCCTGTAAACACTCCTACAAACCTTCTCAATTTTTTTCTTCAAATCCTTACAAAAACCTTGCTACAATGCCTATAGTCCAGCCTGAACGTTAGATCCAAAGCTTTTTTGGGTTTGTGTTTTTTTGTTGTTTTTTTTTGCTTTGGAAGGGGAGTTGGCATTTTTTGGTTTGAGTTGTTTTGTTTTTTTTCAGAAAAGAGAAGTTTTTCCTAATCTGCTTCCATTTTGTCTTGGCATCTACAACTCACTGTCCCCTCCTGTTGTGTTAAACTGTTTGTGCCTACATGGTAACTTGAATGGCAAGATCAGCGCACGTCCAAGTTCTTTTGTTGTCAACAAACATACAAAACATATCTTGGAAATAGCCTGTTGATGATGAGTTTCATTTTCATCTCTGCAGGGAAAACCTCATCATTAGTATTTCTAGTCATCAATAACACAAAACATACTGCTAAAAATCCATTACAACACCAGAAGTTTTCAAAACAAAATGAAGACAATAATGGTTAAAAAAAAGAAATTAAAGAGTAAGCTTTTTTTTTTGCATTTATTACGCTACCTTCTTCCAAGATGGGTCTCAGCACAACAAATGGGATTTCCTGCAATGGTTCCATGTGCTTGTGTCCAGCACTCATAATCTTTATCTGGGGCAAGCAGACGACAAGTGTGCCAGGCATACTTGCCTGCCCGTGGTACCAGCTTCGCACAGTCCCAGGAATGTCGCCCGACACAATAGTACTTGGGGAAGGCAGGCTGTCATTCGGAAGGAATACACAACAAGACTGAACTTCAAGCTGAAAAACCAAGCAGCCAAGAGAGATTTCTCAGAAACAGATTACCACTTTTCCATCCCGATGTGGAGTATTCATCTTGGTACAAAATGTCAAACTATTCATCCATTGCAGTTTATTGAAAATAGTCTAAGGTTTTAGTTGAATTAAGAGGAAAGATGACACAAAATGCTGAAAAAGAATATATTTCTGTAAACTGTGATTATAGGAGGGCAGGGAAGAAGGACTGTGTTTTTGGTCTGTAAATTTGTTCAGAAAGGTGTTGCCATATAAACTGAAGAGATGTCTACATTTCAACAGCTTTTTACAAGAAGTGTAATTGAGTCTGAAAATATTCTCATCTGCTCTCCTCTTTTTGCAGTTCATTAGCACTTGTTAGCAATAGCTAAGCCACTAGATTTAACCATCATTTTATATGCTGTTACCTTCTATAAAGACTTCTATAAAGACTTATGTCAGGGAAAATTCTGTCTTAACTTAGAAGTCAACAGCAATGAACATGGACAAAAGCATCAATCATCAGATAAACTAGGAAAATATACAAACTTCAGTGAAAAACTGAACTTAAAACAAAGGGGCAGGTGCATACAAACAAAAGAGAAACAGAAATTAATAAAGTTTATATAGCTTTTGTCCTGTTTTCATTGTAAATCAGAACTAGTGCACATGGTTTCATATGAAATAACACTTTTTTGTTCTGTATTTTCAAGCTGTTACCTCTAGCCATTCTGCCATCTCCTCATGAGCTTCTAGCAAGGCTGAGGGAGCCCAAACCAAGAACTGAACTCGTCAGGACTTGTTACCTCAGAGGTGGTGTAAGCTGCAGGCCAGTAAGTCTTCCTTGGCTCTTACAAGTAATATTCTGCACCTGGATATCAAATAGCCCTGACAGCCTGCACACTCAAATGCTTTGTTAAGCAACCACAAGCTATGATTCAGTTAATTTCCTCACATTGTTTGGAAAAATCTAGTGTACAAAATGTTGGACGGAAGATGTTATTTGTAGCTGTAACAAAAGAATATTTGTTTGCTGTAAACTTACATAACAGTCTTTCAATTTGACATCATTAAAGACATCATAGCTTAAAACTGATAAACCAGGTTTGTACTCCATATCCTCCCCTGAAGCCTTCAAAACTGCAGTTGTGATTTGCTATAGAGCTGAAATTCCCCAGCACCGTAAGTACTTTGCCAGCCTAGTGAGAACACAGATATTCATCTGTATTTCAGCATTTTTGTGCCTTTTTGCTTAGACAAGCTGACAAGAATTCACTGCAGAAAAATATAAGTAAAATTTGCAAAAATAAATACATTGTTACATGAAGTCTGTGTTTGTTTCTAGTTTTAGAACTGTTTGAGTTGTAAAATGAAGTTAATTACATCTTTGATAAGTAGTTTATTGATCCAAGGTTGCAGACTGTATTTATACTGGATGAAAAGCAATGGTGTATTGTTACAGATGTAATAGATTTGGAATTTTTTTTAAACTGGTAAATTAGTCATTGTGTCAATTTGCAAAGATTTTTACAGTGACGCATTAGATCGTTTTCTGGTCTATTAGTAATAGGTTGCAGGTCAAGCCATTGTGGGATAATGATAAATAGATGACAAAAGAACTTATGATTAGTATAACTTTTGTTTTATCAGTGCATTTGCTGAGTAAACAGTTTATAAAAAAAACATCCATTCTTTATATATATACCCTTGACGATTAACACCAAATGCTGCCTGGATATACAAACCATGTGTTAATAATAATCCAAAAATTCCACCAGCTTGGAGAGATACTACAGTTCATCACATTACCAGCAGCAGGATCTACAGAAGATGTTTTACAAAGTAATCTTGAGAAGGTATCTCAATACTCAGTAGAGTTTTTACATTTATAGTTCAACATAAATTCATACTGCAGACAAAGTCTTCAGATAATTTTTGTTTTTACTTTGCCCTATCAAGAATACGGAAGAGGAATCACAGCAGTTCCACTCTAAATGCCTGAGGGCAATTCCTATTCACATAGCAGCTACTTTGCCCTTATCATTTTCAAACAACTGTACGGGAGCTGGACCATTAATGTTAGTGGGGTTTACGTGTTAACATCAAGCCCTTCATATGTAATATTACTGATTTACTTACCTATATGGTTTGCTTGCTTGTATTTCATTTAAAGTTTTACATGAATAAATGAATTTTGCAAAACATTCTTACAGGATTTCAAAGGCCCACACAACAAACACACGGCAAAATTCCAAATTTTAGGGTCAATTATGCAATTATTATGATCATGTCAGAAATTGCCAACTTGTATGTAAAAAGGTCCAGGAAGTGCAAAATTGAATTGCACCTGTTGAACTTCTCAAAGGCAGATTCTGCTTACACACAACTAACAACTTCAATTGACTTCATGTACATTTATCTGAGGGCGTCTGCAGATCCGTCTAATAAAAAATTCCAGTGAAGGAAATGAAGAGTGCACCTAAAATGACGGAATTACATGTTGAGTAAAAGTGAGAATATGCCCTACAGACCGCTTCACCCAACGGAAAGTGCTTTAAACTATATGTAATCCGAATTCTTAAAATTAAACTACATCAATAGCATATATTAAAGCTATCATATAAATCTTTTTACACTTTTTAAATGACTGCTAAACTATGTGTCTAAAATTGTGAATTTAATGTAAAAAGGGACTGATTTATGTAACTGAATATAAATCTGCAGCAGTAAATCTTGTATTAATGTAAGGATCTGACAATCCAAGGGAAAGAAAATGAAGTAATCTGCCAGTAAGAAGTCCTCAAGCTGGGGGTCAGATCCTGTTCATGGAAACCATCTGGTTGGGACCCTCCAAGCCACACCAAACACAAATGATCTTTTAAAAAAAATATCCTATTCATTAATGCTTCGCAGCTGCACTGAGTGTTACTTCATTTTTCCATGGCAACATCCTTTCTGTTTCAAGGATCTTATTTCAGTTTTGGTAGCAACGTGTTCTTTTGCCAATACTGAACACATTCATGTGTTAAAGAGAACGAATTATTACAAATTCTTGAAACAGAATCACTCCCTATTTTCATTTCTGTTAGTCAAGGCTTATACACGCTAAGTAACGTACACTAATGATAAACCAATGAAGTAAGCAGCAGTTTCCCTTCTACTTTTAAAAAGTTATGCAAAGCATACTGCTCTAAGTTTCTATTACTACAGAGGCCTAAAAAGGTGCAATGACTTTAAGACTTTGTTGTATAAAAGGGAAAGTATTAAGTTACTTGAATAAATGGCGTATTTTGAATTCATATTTTATAAAAAGAGAATGTTGCTCGATAGAGTGGATGATGAAAAGTGCACTGCAAAACTATCAGAACTAAATGAGGAAGGTGGGTGCAACGGTTGTCACAAGTGAGAAAATTATCCTGCAAAAAGTGCAACAAAGAGGGACAGGTTGTACAAAAGTCTTTACAGCCTTTCATGATAGTGATGCCCTTCCCTAACCCACATTTTATAACTAAATAAACCAATTAGGGGCATTGAAGATGACCCACAAGCTGACACTCACATAAGGGCGTCTCCTGGGAAGCGGCCTCTCTCTGCATTAATCAACATTTATCACATGCTCTCAGCAGAAAGGCTAATGTGCTTTTCCGGGCGTTTCAGTTACGGAATATAATCTCACAATGAATCCCAAAACTGCAAAGGACCACCGGCACACAGGTCATGCAGGGGTTATGGTGTGGTCATTACTGTAAGAGCACACCTCAGCCTCTGACATGCAAATTAGCTCTACCTAATTAGACAATCTTGCAGTTGAGCCAGACACACACAGTTTGGTACAATTTAAAAAGGTAGGCCAGAAATTTACATTTTGAAGTTAGACAAAAAGTAAAAATGGTATAAATGGAAAGCAGAGCACATGAGTGAGAGGACTAGAAGGCTACCTGCACATATAAATAAGTATAATAAGGATCAGCTGTGTGTTCTTTGACCACTCAAAACACAATGTCTTACCACTACACAGTATTCCTATTCTTCTCTAAGAAAGCCTGATTATTGAAAGTTTTTAACTAGTTATGGAAATTTATTTTTTTAAAGTTTGTATTAAGTAACCAGCTTAAAAAAATCATCCTGTCTCGTAACTGCGGAATAACTGCTGGTAGCTGTAACTGCTGAGTTACAAGTCACAGAGTTTCTTCTTGAACCATGAATAAAGACCACTGTTCAAAGAACAGGAACTTTAGTCAATCTCATCCTTATGTTTCTGTTCTTTCAATCTATGTTTCACCCTGACTCAAATTTTCTACTACTTATATGCTTTAAAGAAAATATTATTTTCAATAATTTCAGGAAACAGACTAATTTTTTTCAAATAATTCCAGGTACATTTAAAGGTCTGTGGAATATCTGGCTAAGTTTTATATGTAATAATTACACTCTTAGTTAGTTGGCATTTACTGCAACATTACTCATTAATTGATTTGCTTTTAATACAGATCGTTCATTGTTCTCACTGGAATTCAGCATTAATAGCTAATTAAAAATAATTGTGTTTATACTTCTCCACAATTTTAGCAACTATTAGTATGAAGAACACGTGAAAAGTGAGTATTACCCTCCTACATAATGTGACTGCCAAGAAGACTTCAAGGCTGCATATAAAAATCCTACAACAACTAAATAATGAAAACAACTTTTTATAGTTAAGTACGAAAGTCTTTTCACTTAAATACTAATAGCTTACCACAACTCCAATGCACAAAATCCTCATACAATATTCTATCATGAGCAAGCCAGGGCTAGGGCTAAGCAAGTACAAGCTTTAATTCCAAAATAAACTTTCCAGTTACTTTGCTTCCCAACATTTACTAATTCAAACTTCCACTAAAAGAATAATCCTTTGATGATGTCAAGTTATGAAGTTCTGTATTATCTGATGACAACTACAGATTGTTCTGTTGTAAAATCATGGTAATAAAAGATGGAGGAACATGAAAACAGTTTTAGGAAAAAAATCTTAGGAGTCTCTAAGTAGTCCACTATTTAACCAGACAAAGTATTCTAGAAATTTGCCTTCTTCATGCCAAATGATAATAAAATTCATAAAATATGTATGAATTTAACATATAAATATATTTATGTGTTCAATAAAACGTGTATTACATTTAATAAAATAAATATATGACACTGTGCTTGAATTGAAAAGCAGAATCATAACCATCATCTTATCCTCTACACATTGCCTTGCACAAATTTCAGCTCTGCCATTTAGGCTGGTGTTGAAGGAAAAAAAGCTATACATAGGCATTTGTATTTATATAAAAAAGACATAGGGACTCCTAGCAATAATAAAAGTAAAAACGAATCTCACAATCCCCATGTGTTGCTTGATCTAGTTGAGAGGCATCCCTGCCCATGACAGGGAGGTTGGACTAAATGATCTCTAAGGTCCCTTCCAGCCTAGGCCAGTCTATGATTCTATGAATGTATTGTTCAAAAGGCACAGACTATAGCAATTCTAAGTTAGAGTAATTTATAAGCAGGCACTTCATATATATTTAGAAGAAGAGAGTCCTAATCCTTGCATTTCTAAGCCATCTAGTATTTTACAGAATCACAGAATGTTAGAGGTTGGAAGGGACCCCAAAAGATCATCTAGTCCAGCCCCCCTGCCAGAGCAGGATCACCTACAGTAGGTCACACAGGAAGGCGTCCAGGTGGGTTTTGAATGTCTCCAGAGAAGGAGACTCCACAACCTCCCTGGGCAGCCTGTGCCAGTGCTCTGTCACCCTCACAGTGAAAAAGCTTTTTCTGATGTTTTTGTGGAACCCCCTTTGTTCCAGCTTGTGCCCGTTGCCCCTTGTCCCTTGTCCTGTCATTGGACATCACTGAGAAGAGCCTGGCTCCATCCTTCTGACACTCCCCCTTGACATATTTATAAACATTTATGAGGTCATCCCTCAGCCTCCTCTTCTCCAAGCTAAAGAGACCCAGCTCCTTCAGCCTTTCCTCATAAGGGAGATGTTCCACTCCCTTCATCGTCTCTGTGGCTGCGCTGGACTCTCTCAAGCAGTTCCC